CAACAAATGAAGTGCATAAACTTCCTTGATCCAGATCCTTTGCATAGCCCAGGTCTATTATTTTGTGAACAATCTGCAAACAGTTTAAACAGCTCATCAGAAGAGTAAATGCTGAGGAAGAAAAACCACCAAACAACCCAAAGTCTGCTCTGTGACAGCCACAGAGTATTCTCAAGAGGAAAGCCAGAGTGGAAATTCTGGAGAAAGTTCATGGCAAAACTTCAGCAACAGTGTTAAAGCTTTTAGTAAATGCACAGTTGAGTTTTCAGTCCAGTTCAATGTGACAGCTTCCAGAAATGACAATGGAAACACACTGATCACCTGACTTACCTTCCCACCTTCATCCTGAAGAACAATATTTTCAGGCTTTAAGTCTCTGTGTATAATTCTGTTCTCATGCAAATACTGGATACCAGACCCTGAAAGACATGTGTTTGATTTAACAGAAAATAAAATCCACATTGATTAAATGTAAATCTGATAAAAAACCTAATACTGGGGGGCAAATTCCCAGCCCTCCATCATTTACCACCACTCATTTCTACATTTAACAGCTTCCAAACCTGTGTTTCTTCTCCACTGCATTTTCACATCTTTGCAAAGACATGCCAAAGACACTCAACTCGATATGAAAAAAAAAAAAACAATAAGCATTCAAACCAATAAGCATTCTGGAAGGGGACAAGAATAAATCAAGCAGAGTTGCTCTTTATTTCAGGAATTCAGCTGGAAGCCCTCTTGAGCACTGAAAGGACAGAAGTCCAGGCCAGTACTCTGATATACTTTCTCATGCCAAAACTATCTCTTCCTACAAGCAGTGACAGGTTTTCTGTAAGAGAATTAAGAAAACAAGGGGCTTTCCTGGAAGACCTTTCCTTTTTCCTAGAGAAACCCAGGCACTGCCCTTTTACCAGACAGCTGTTCCTTCCCATGGTGTCCAAAAAAACAGGTACTTCCCAAGGGCCTGATTTTCTTTAATGCCCTGTTCATTTTAGTTCCCTTTTCATGGTCAGCTGAAAAAGGAAAATGCCACTACACTTAAAAAAATAAACAAAAAACTTAACAAAAAGAAAGCATTAACTACATACCGATGTCACTAAGCAGAGAAAGGATTTGACTTTCCTTCAGCCCACAGCAGTTTTCTGGTTTGTTTAGCAGCTACAAAAAAGCAAAATATGTTCAAACCCACACTTGCAACAGTTAACAGCAAAAACCAACACTTTCCATTCCCTATTGAAACTATCCAGCAAACAGCACAGCTCAAGGACACGCCAGCTGAATGGGGCAGTAGACTTTGTGCAGTAAAATCATGGGCAAGAAGAAAACAACTCAAACAAAACGAAAATTCAGAAAGAAAAGGGGTAGGAGACAAAGGCAGGGCCACAGGGCTGCAGGCAAGGGAGGCTTCCCCTCAGCACCGTCCTAATGAGCTGTCAATAAAAGCAGCTCCAGCAATTTCTGACTTTTACTGCACTCAGGACTTTTAGAGATGACTCAGATGCTTCAGCCCTCATGATGGATTCACGAGGAGAAATTAATGAAGTGAAACACAAATTATGTCAAACAAGAGAAAGATTTAAAGAACACAAGCAGAAATAAAACAGATTATGGTTATTTTTAAAGCAGTACAGAACATCACACGAAATGAAGTATGTTACTTCCTGAATTATTTCAGCATGTATGCCACACCTAAGGATCCATCACAAATGAAGTGACCAAACACTGCATTGCAAGTAGAGCTGATTTCTCAGCTAGGGTCTCTAATCAGCCTTCAGGGAGTCTCCAAACTTTTACTGCAATAATACAACAGCCAGATGTCTCTGGGACCGTGGCCAGGTGCCTGTTTCTGCAAACCTCAAATGCTTTTTTATATATGCTCCTTCTTTTATTGCAACTTAAACCTTAACAGTGTTTCTTGGACTGTTTTTAACAACTCAAAACCATATAAAGAGATGGAATTACTGCATTCACCAGTGGCTCACGTTCCCCAGAGCTGCTCCCCAGGTGATTTCTAAGCAAATCCTGATAGGGATTTGCTGCTTCACCCCTCTAGAAATTGCTGCTTCCTGAATCCAGCTGTAATGGAAAGGGAACACAAACTCTACCAGGTCACCAAGCCACTGCCTGGAGAACTGCTGAAAGGCTCCTTTATTTTTGGGTGTTGCCAGTGTGCAGATTGGCAGTTCCCAGTTCAGCAGGAATAGCAAAGCTTCAGGATCCCTGGAGGTCCCAGACCAGCAGAAATAGGCTCACTCCCTGTGCTGACTGCAACATAACACTGGATACACATGAATCCCAACCAGTCAGACTCTGAACAGATGGAGACACAGCAGCAAAGCCAAACCTGCTGGGTGGCAGCAGCTGCACTAATGCTAAAGCAGCTCCACGAAAGGACACACCAGGATAAAAGAGTATCTGCCCTTGGCTTGCCCTCTGCTTTCACAAACACAAGCCTCGTTTCCCACACACATTTTTTTTTTTCTCTCTACATTAACTTCCTCACACGTGTACCTGATGCCTCAGGGTTTAGCTTTTATATTTTTCAGACTCTGTGCTGCTTTAGTGTGTGGGTCTGAGCTTCACATTACGGGATGGTGAGCTCTCTTCACAGAGCAGGGAGACAAAACAATTCCTTCTCTAGCTGGGGACCATGGACAAATGATCCAAATCTCAGGCCCAAGAGCACAAACAACGTGGGCTGAAGAGAGAAAAACAAGCAGGATGGGACTTCATGGGCTGGAGCCGTAATTAGATAATTAACTTTAATACGCAAACGGAGCAGAACTAAAAGTGAGAGCCCCTATGAGTGCTCGTGCATTTTGGGACCATTTTGGTTCATCTTGGGTGCAGCTCTGGCTGGGCTCTTGTGCTGCCCAAGGTGGATCCATTGAGGAGATCCTTTTAATAAATCCCTTCTTTATTCTTTAACTCTGTCCAGCCTCTGTTCTAGACATCATACCCAAAGAGAGAAGCTCCACAGAGCAGCCCTGGTGACAGGAGCAGCACTACCACGCCCTGTTTGGGCCAGTGGTATCTGGTTTTTATTGAAAGCCAAGCAGGCATTACCTTGCGGAGGTCGCCCCCTGAGCAATACTCCATGGCCAGGAGAGGAACGTCGTTCACCAGGAAGTTCATCTCCTCAGGAACTTCACAGGCTCTGACCACGTTGGGATGGTTCAGCCTAAGCACACAGACAGCTGGATGAAAACTCTCTTGGGAGAATGAGACAACAGCTTGCAACGTAACCAGTTTTATGTTCCAAGGACAGCTTCTGCTCCCCACAGGAATCCTTGCTCACTCATCAGCTGGTACCTACCGTACCCAAATGCATAAAATCCACACCTAGGGAATACACAAACCAGTGATAAGCAGAGTTGATGTCTCAAAGGCAAGATGCAGAACTTTGGGGAGTTCCAGACTCAAGTTGTGAATTCTTGCACCATCCTGGCAGTGTCATTACATGTGTGTGTATGTAGGAAAAGGCTCCCTCCAGCCCAAGTGTTTCACAAGAACCCCTTAACATCCGTATAACTGCACCAGGCAGGTGAAAGCCACATTCAGAGGGAAAAATTAACTTCTTCAGCTGAATTCAAACAGCTGCTTCCTGACTGTCTCAAATACATGCTACTCTTGGGAATAAATTATATATCCAGAAAGAAATGAAAGCAAATTATTTCCCTCTACATCTTCCAAAGCCTCTGGACACCAATGCATGAGCAGCTCGTAACTCAGTGGTTGTTTCCAGCACCCAAATCAAACATCACCCAAGCCCTGACTTACAAATTCATGTTCCCTGCAAGTGGTTTCCCATGTCATGGCACACAGTGAGCAGGTGAGGGTAACAAAGTGACAGCGGGAGCTCAGAAGAGCACTGAACACCAGGGTAACTGCAGGCCTCGGGGAGGACAACTCAGAGCATCCCTGCTCCCACCAGTGGGACAGAGGATTTCCTGCTCCAAGATCTCTCTTTCTCTCTCAGGAGCAGTTCTGTGAGACCCAAACAGCCAGAGGCAGCCCCCACATCCATGAGACCAAAGCTGTCCAGCCCTGTTTCACCCGCTGGAGAGGGAGGCTGGGCAGCACATAGCATGGACTTTCTCACAAGGAAGTGGAAGGAGAATTTATTCTTTACATTCGGCAGCGTGACAGAAAAAAAAAACCAATTCCAGGATCCCCTGGTTGCTAAATCAAAACCAAAAGTACCGAACGGTATGGGAACATGTGGGCGTTCCCAAGTCACAACATCAGAACTCAACCCACAGGATGGTGTGAGTTTGGAGGAATTTCGGATGTGTGAACAGCCCAGGTGGCACAACAGGGCAGGGGGCTTGGGGGCCGCCAGCTCCCAGGCCGAGGCAGGAGCTGGGGCACTGGGTGAGGGATAAGCACAGGCATGCCAGGTGACAAGAGGCCCAGGGGCTGACCCCCGGCTGTCCCCACAGCGCGGTCCCATCTCCGCAGCCGGTCCGGGGCTGACTCCCCGCACTCCCCGCTCCCGGCCAGTCCATCGCCTGACCCCCGGCTGTCCCCTCTCCCTGTCTGTCCGCTGCCGCCGTGCCGAGCCGAGCCGAGCCGTGCCAGCCGGCCCGCACTCACTTCTTCATGATGTCGATCTCGTGGCACCAGCGGTCCTTGTTCTTGACGCTGAGCTCCAGCCGGCACGACTTGATGGCCACGCGGTCGCCCGAGTCCTGCGGGACACAGCGCCGTCAGCCGCCCCGGCCCGGCCGTGCCCCCCCCGCCGCCCGGCCCGGCCCCACCTGGTGCTGGTACAGGCACACGTTGCCGAAGCCGCCGGTGCCCAGGCGGTCGCGCATCTCCCAGGGCCCGCAGCCGCCGGCCGGGTGCCCGCGCAGCGCCGCCCCGGCGGGGGCCCGCTCGCCGGCGTTGGGCGCGGGGGGGCCGGCCCGCTCCATGGCTCAGCCGCTCGCTCCGGCACTCCGCCTCGACTGCCGCGTCACCGGCCGGCGCCGCCCGGGGCCGCGGCCGGCAGCGCCGCCTCAGTCGCGGAGGGAGAAGTCGAAGGGCTCGAAGTCGCGGCGGAAGGCGCGGGCCTGCGCCGCCTCCTCGGGCCGCGGGGCGGCGCACTGCCGCCAGTCCGCGCGCTGCGGCTGCGCCAGCAGCGCCTCGCTCGCCAGCACCTCCCTGCAACGACAGCGCCGTGACGTCAGCGCCCGCCGCCGTGACGTCACGGCGGGAGCGGGAGGGAGCGGGCGGGCCCGGCGCGCACCTGCCGAACTGCAGCGGGAAGCGGCCGCGGATGCGGTGGAACAGCTTCTCCCCCGAGTCCAGCTCCACGTAGAAGTACGGCGTCCCCGGCTGAGCCACCTGCGCCGCGGGAACCACGGAAGCACAGAGTCAGTGCGGCTGGGAAGCACCTCCATCGAGCCCGCCCTTTAACTGGCCCGTGGCGCTGCCACGCCCAGGCTGCACCTAAACACCACCCTTCCTAGCCCCCCTTCTGAGAACAGGTGACAGGCACACCCTCCTCCCAGCCACTTCAGCTGTCCCCATGCCGTGCTCCTCTCTTCTGGCAGGAAATTTGGAAAAATAACCCCACAAACTGCCTGAGGTCAGTGCCTGACCTCCAACAATACCTTCCATGGGAGGAAGGAGCAGTGGGTCACTTCCTGCTGGGATCACCTATGACATTTTGTGGTTTAATTCTGCCATGAGTGACTAAATGAGAACCAGGCAGGTCTCGTTGTTCCTAAGCTCATCTAGGTCACCCAGCCTACTACACACAATTTTTGGAGGATGAGGCCACGCTCACATTTCTCAGCTGAGAAATCATCTGTTGTTCCTGGGACCTTCTCCCAGAGCAGAATCCTGGCACATCCCCAAATCAAGTCGATGAGGTTCTGCCCCCAAGAGCTTGGCCCCACCCCACAGCGTGACCTCAGAGAGGAACAGCAGCTTAGGCAGGACAGAGGGGAAGCAAAGAGGTGAAATCTGACCCCGTACCTGCGCGATATCCGAGTGCTCTGGGATTTCTAACAGCTCAATCTGCTGCTCCTGTGCTTGTGTAATAAAGGCCTCCTTGATGTCTTCAGATGTACAGAGGTCCAGTGGGACAGGGATGACCTGGAGAGGGAGGACATTTCCATAAAAGAAGACGAGACAATGCGTTTGCAGAAAGCCATCAGTCCATCACTGGAGCTCATGGGCTCCTCAGTACAGCTCAGCCTCATCACACAAGATAGGTGAGCACCCATCTCTACAGGCTTAAACTTATGAGACATTTTTCCCTGTAGGAGGTGGACAGAGAGCTGAAAACCCCAGGCTTGAAAGTTCTCAGCACAGTCCTCTCCTTTCTCATCTCTGTGGTAGTTCTGATACAGCTCTGATACACTTACAGACCTGCCACACACAGCAACCACCACGATAAACCCCAAAATGACTCTTTCAGTTCACCTGGAGTTTATATTCAGTGCAAGTTTATGTTTTCCCAGAGCAACACCCAAACCATACCTGTAGCTGCAAATGCTGACTCCTATAGTTTCTTTCAAATAGGACATATCTCTTTCCCTTGCTTCTGAAAAATTCCTTTAGAGCAGCCTTGTACTTGGTCACTTCTTCCAGCACCTCTGAAGACAAGTCCACCACTGACTGATAGTGCCCAATTGGCAAAATCAGGACGTGGTCAGGAGACAAACCCCCTTTGGCCAGGGCAAGGTAGCACTAGAGTGAAACAACACACACCAGTTACTCACTGTGCTGTAGGAATTTAACCTCTGACTACTCAGTCTGAGCAGCCACAAGAAAAGGAGAGCCTTTTATGTTGTTTATTATGGATTGTTTATTAGCCATTTTATTTGAATTTATTTTTATACTGAATTTATTAATCACTAGAAGAATGAGAAAGAGGCAAAGAGACTGCCAAATGACAAAGGAAAAGTTATCTTTTGAATGCCAGAGGAATGCTTTGTGTGCAGGGAAGCTGCTGAGTGAACTGCAGCAGTGAGGCAGGAATTTCTTATTCTGACACAAAAATCCACTTAAAAATTTGAACTAAACCCGTGGACAAACCGGTCCCTGTAAGTTAATTATGCTATACAGGAGCAAAAGGGCATAAAACAATGATGGACTGAGCTTCAAAGTCAACATCTTGAAGTACATCTTGGACACATTTTCATCGCTATAGAACAAAACTATAACCAGCCATCCCAGAGAGATCTGGCACTGGTGCATCCTGCTGCCAAAGCAAGTTCCAGCTTTATTCTAGCTGGAAAAGTTTTGCCAGATGGTAAGAGAGGGCTGGCACAGCAAAAAGTGTTCTGGCACTGGATTCCAGCTGTGCTGCTGGAACAAAACTGGGCCATGCTTCACTTTTTAAGAGTTTCTATGTGTGTAGAGGAGATGCAAAGGAACTGAAAGCAAACCAGCTGCAAATAAAGTTTGTTTTATGTTTAAAATTGGCGATTGTTATTTTGTTTTGCCATGACTTAGCATGATTCTGACCTAGCAAACCAATGCTGCAGGTACTTACATGTGTGCCAATACTGACAACCAAGTGCTTCTCCACCTCTGGGCTGGCCAGGCAGAACCAGCAGGGCCCCGTGGGCTGAGCTTTGTCGGGAAAGAAAACAAGGATTAGCAGAAGGGGTATTTGTCAGAACACAGACAACCTGGTATTTTCCAGCCACCCTTCGCAGTTTATAAAGTGCTGAAGGTGTCAGAAGGACACAGCTCTGGCCAGGGAAATTCCAGCAAGAAAGGAGGTGGTGGCAGTCAGACCCTGCTGACTGCCATTCTCCTGGAATGCTGTAACCTAATGAAGGAGGAGCTTAGTAGCTCCAGGAGTTAGTAGTTGCAACTCACTAATAAGAAAACACCAGCACATGTAAGCAAACAAATCAAAATGAGGTAAAATTACTGCACAGGTAAAGACAAGGGCAGATGCTGTCAAACACACTTGTCAGTTCTGGTCTATCCATCACACCCAAAGCACCTGGATTCACACCCAAACTTTGACACCTGAGCTGAGATTTTCAGAAGTGCCATGTCTGGTTCAGAGGGTAAATGCCATGAGCCCAACCACAACCACCAGAGACCCATAGAGCCTTGAAATTACACTCTTGACCCTTCTTTCACCTACTGAAGCCAATCTTCCCTTGGAAAAGAGGGAAGATCCCTTCATCTTCCTGCATTCCCCCAGCAGCTGGCAGTGGGAGCTCTCTGGCCAGCTGACACCGACAGCTCAACAGCTTGAGGAATAACTTGGAGTGACGTGGTCCATCCAAGGCCTCGAGGGAAGAGCTCAGGGAAAAAGCATCCTCATACTTACGGGGTTTCTTGGCTTGCTTAGGCTGGGAGTCCCCTCCCTCTTTCCCCTCTGAGGGACGTTTCTTTCCCTGATGCTTGTTCAAGTCAAAGAAAAACTGACAAGCTGGTTCTTCCTGTTTAGGAAATGAAAAGTGAATGGGATGTTCAGTTAGAACTGCATCACAGAAAGTGATAGGATATACAAGAATTTGATTTTTCCTGAAGAGCTTTTAAAAGCATCAATATCCTAGAATCATTTAGGTTGGAAAATCCCTGCCAGCCCATGGAGTCCCAGCTGTGCCCAGTGCCCACCTTGTCCCCAGCCCAGAGCACTGAGTGCCACCTCCAGCCCTTCCTGGGACACCTCCAGGGATGGGCACTCCAAAGCTCCCTGGGCAGCCCCTGCCAAGGCCTGAGCACCCTTTCCAGGAAGAAATGCCTTCTGAATACCCTGGAACAGAATGGCCTGTCCTCCTAGTAATGCAGCACCCTTTACCTGCTACAGTCAGGGAAAAACTTCAGGGAGAGCTGCCCCAAATGATTATGCTCTCCTATTCAGCCTTATGCTGAACATTCAGAATTGCCTGGTTTTATAGATTATTCAAATCTTTTCATTTGCCAGCCTATGCCAAAAGAATGGCTTTATTTCTTAGAGATGTTAACGTGTCACAGACTCGCCAGAGGTTGAAAACATTTGACTGAGTTAGCCCATACAGCCAAATGCCATTAAAATACTTTAATGCTCAAGAGGAAAAAACTCTTGTCCCCTTATCTCTTATAGTCCTTCTTTAAGAAGTGAAAGGCCACAAAAAGTTCTCCCTGGAGCCTCCTCCAGGCTGAACACCTGCAGCTCCCCCAACTTGTCCCCACAGCAGAATTTTGGACAGAGAATCCCAAAGGGAAAGCCAAGCAGTGTTGTGAGCACAGAGAGTGAAGCAGGAAGGCACAGGGAAGCAGTTTGTGTTTTGTAGGGAGAAATAAACACCAAGGTACCTCTGCAGAGAGCGGGGCTTTGCTCTTGGGAGCCTCCTTCCTCAGTTTCCGGTAGGGATTTTCGGTGACGTCCTGAGGCTGCTTCACCAGCTCTGCAGGGTCCATTGAGCTCATGGGCACGATGCTGAAGGCATAGAGGTACTGCAACAAACACAGGTGCTCAGGGACAAGCAGCTCCTGCCACAGCTGCACCTCTGAGGAGATCACTTACGAACTAAGACACCCCAGAGCAGTTCCACACCACTCAGCACACCGTGTTTGTGCCAAGGCAGGACATGGAAAAACACACCCACTGTGCCAGTGTCCCACCCAGGAGCTTATGCACTGCATCCTCCATCCCTGCCCATTTCCAGGCCTTCCTTCTGGCCTTTTATGTTTCCAGGCCTGGATCCTGTGCACCCTTAACTACCAATCAATATTCCATAATTTTCTTAAGGGTAGAAGAGAAACAGGTTAAAAACCTCATGCCAAAGCTGGTTATTTTGCCTCACAACACCACGTGCAGCCCTTACCCTTCTGACATAATAGGCAAGTGGTACCTATTAGTCAAGTGAGACAGATATCTCCACTTCAGCCAAGATTTTAAGTGCCTGGTGCTGTCCTCTAACTGGTCTCACTGCCCTATTATTGTACTTGAGAAAAGAAGAAAGATTCAAGGGTGTCAATACCTTTTTCTTGCTTGTGTTGCCAACATCAGCAAGGGCAATAAACCTAGTGACGTGCTGTGGGGTCTCCTGTAGCACCATGTGATTCCTGGAAGGCAGCAAAACCTGGCTGTACTGAAAAAGTACTGAAAGGACAGTGGGAGAACCCCTCCCTGCCACGAAGGTACTCAGAGACCACACAAATCCTCCTGTGTTCCTTAAAATCTGAACCCTTACTTGAAAAATAAATGACATTTCACATGATTTTACAAACCTGTAAGGAAGTCTTTCATAATAGGCCTTCTCCAGGGCAGCAAAATGGTACCTTGGTTTGAGACTTGCAGCCAGATCTGATACTAACTTGGAGCCACACTTCTTGGTATCTATTTCTCCCTACAAAACACAAACCAAGCTTTATTTAAACCTCTCAAAGAGCAGGGAAAAGAAAGGTTTAATGTACTTCTCTCTACACTCAAGTGAGCTAAGTCCTAGAAAATTCATGCCAGGGGAAGTCAAACATAGAATGGCATATTAAACAACCACAGGGAATGCCCATGGGAACTTCTAAGATCTGAGTTTTCTTTCTGAGCCAGAATATCCCAACAAATCATTCTCTACAAGCCCCAAGGGCAGCAGGGTTGGTTATCATGCTGTGAGGGAAGGCTCCTCATGCATTTAAACTGAGGATTGTAACTCTTTTTGGATGTTGGAAGAAACTGAGAGGAAGCAAATTCTTTTGCCACATGTGTGGCCTTGCTGTCCAGACAGGCTTCAAACCATCTGAAAATCATTTCTGCTGAGGAACATTAACACAACAAAACTGGACATAAATGAAAAAATGCCCTTAAAATTCCGATGGAGGAAGAACCAAACCACCTGACTGATACTTAAGGAAATAAACACCAAAACACTTAAAAAGTGGCAGGGACAGATAAAATGCCCTGAAGTCTCATAAATCCCCCTCCTTTCAGTCCTTCTTCTCTGAAGAACCAGAACATAAGCTTTCCCTGTTTTCACTCTCAGCTTTCTCAAGCACGTGGAGAGGGTGGACAGAACTCCTGCTTGGAGAGGAAGCAGCAAGGCAACGCTTTGTGAAACCCCAGAACAGAACACTCACCGCGCTGTTGGCAAAAGTCCCCACATCTCTGGGCCAGGGGGATGTCAGCAGTATATCCACACCCCTGAAGTTTGGGGTGGAGAGCAGGGAGGCTTTCAGCTCAGCCACGTCCTTGGCGCCGAAGCAGTGGGCGGGCGCGGGCTGCTGCTGCGCCTCGGTGCCGCTCAGGTATGCGATCTGCAGCCCCGAGCAGCCGCTGAACACGCCCCTGCGGCCTGCAGCGACACAACACAGCCCTGAGAGCGCCACAACCCCCTGGGCGGGGCAGCAGCAGTCCTGACTCGCTGCCGCCGCAGCAGCCTCACAGGCAGCTCATCTGCCGTGCTCAAACCCGAGCCTGCCCACAACGGAGCTCTTCACACAAGCCCCAGCCTTCCCCCTCCTCCCTGCCACGTTGCTTCCCAAAAACTCATCCTCAGCAATAACACATCCCAGCCAAGTACCTCTACTTAGTTATTTTTTTGGCCTGGTGGGAATTCTGGAAAGAAACTGGTTTTTCCTTTTAGCTTAGCTACATTTCGCTTGTTACTTCTGTCACTGCAGTATAGCCACACAGCAAAATCGTATTCAAACCTTCTACAGAGACAGGCATGTTCTGGGAATAAGATTCCCTCAAAAAACAGGCTCTTGCAATCACTATTCCTTCTGGTTAGCAAGCTCAGTATCAGAGAAATTTAAAAAAAAACCAAATCAAGAAAGCAGGGTTTTCTTTCACATTTTACACAACATCAAGTTCAACTTCAGACTGAACCACAGGATAAAAAATGCCATTTATGACTCCCAGAAAAAGGAAGGTGTTGAAGTGGGAAGAGGAGAGAACACCCATGGGAGCCCCAGCAGGCACAGGCAGCTCCCTGAGCCCAAACCCCCTGCAGCCTTACCCAGGTAAGTGATGTTCTCAGCCAACTCACAGCCGCTGACATCTGGGAAGTAGCTCAGGGTGTCCGGGTTGTTAGCACCAAGCACGTAGGTTGGGATTGGAGCTGAGGGAGAAAACCTCGTGCACTCAGTGAGCTTTAATTCCAGTGTACCCAGCCCACGCTGCCCAGGAATCAGAGCAGGAAACCCCTCCCAGTCACAGCCTCCACCACACACAACAGCACAAGAAACCTTCTGGCAGGGTGAGCCCCAGCCTGGAATTCCCATTGCTGCAGGAGGGGAACAAGCTCTGCTCCACTCACATCACCCTCCCCTGCTTGTGTAAGATTAACTCCAAGGTGATGCACAGCCCTAAAGCCAGGGGTGTTCCAAACAGACTTATCCTTCCCTCCTGTGTGGGGTTTCCCTGCTGGAGTGTGACTGCTGGAACACCACAGTGCCAGCCCCGGGTGACACCACCCACCGTCCTTACCTTTCTTGGCCCCCGTGCGGTAATCGGCCCATTCTGCCTCGGAAGTAGAGCCAAAGAAATTCCCGACACACAAAAGCATCTAAAAACACCAGATAAAGCAGGAGTTGCCATTTCTCCACAGACAGAACACACACACAAAGACTTTTGCTTGCACCACTTCAGCAGCAGTTGGTTTGCCAAAGTGAAGAGATTTCTCTGTGTTTATCTGTGTTAAACACAACATCAACGGGTTTAAAAGGACAGCCAGTTGCTCTCCCGCCTTCTGTGCACAGATCACGGTTCCTCACAGCTGAGGGGCTGCAAACCCCTTCTCACACCGAGCAGAGAGAGGAGGATCGGGACAGCAACACCCACACGAGCAGCGCCGGCACAGGAACCCCACCCCGGGCTGGCTCCGGCCTCGGCCGTGCCGGGACAGGAACCCCGCGGGAACGGCACCACGTCCGCCTCCCTCCATAAGCCCCACGAGCCTTACGTCGAAGCGGCCGCTCTTGGCCTGGATGGCGCGGACCCGCCCGAAGATCGCGTCCAGCCGCCCCTCCACGTCGCCACACGCCAGCCTGCGGGACACCGCGCGGTAAGAGCGGCCGACTGGCACGGTCCAGCCCCGGCCCCATCGCGACCTCATCCTGTGTCCCGCCCCGTTCTCATCTCATCCCATCCCACCCCAGTCCATCCCGTCCCGTCGCACTCACACACGCAGCGGTGCCGCCGCCATCACGAGGATGCTCGTCCCGAACCTCCGCCCACTTCCGGGTGCACCGCTCAAAGCGCTCCGCCACTTCCGGGTGCGCCGCCCGTAGCGCTCCGCCGGTTGGTGCCCGAAGCCGGGCAAAAGGAGCGGGAGCCGGCGGGCAGTTTAAATGCCCGCGTCCGGAAGGAATCGCGGATATTCCCAACGCATGCTGTCCTCAACCCTGCTGGCACTAAATATGGAAAACCCGTGAAGAAGTAGAAGAGGTGATCGGGTAAGGGAAGGGTCGTTGTCTCAGAAGTGACCGAAATAATCACTGCAGCTGATTATTTACACCGATAAATTATTATACTGTCATTATATATGTTAATATATGTAAATACTGTATTTCGATATATATTTGTAATTATTAGACCGATTTGTACCAAAACAAGCACTTAATCAGGCTGTAAACACCAGCCAAGCTCTCCAGTATTTGACACCTTTTATAAAATTTTCTTATAATGATGCCTTATAAATAAACAATATCTTACGAATCGTTTTTATAGAGGATTTCTAAATTAAATGTTTATGTATTTTATTAAGGTTTTACAATGTTACCATCTGAATTCTGTAACCAGGAGCTGAAATCTGAGTTGGTACTGTTGGTGTTTATTCCTTCTGTGGTATTGGGACTGAACCGTTCCACATTTCAACAACAGGCACGAGAAATGGAAAGTAATAACTTTTATTTTCTGCATCTCACTTGGCCTGAATAAACCACAAAATTAGCATGGAATGGTTTGGATGGGAAGGGACCTTAAAGCCCATCCAGTGCCATGGGCAGGGAATTCTTCCACTGTCCCAGGCTGCTCCAAGCCCTGAAAGTCCAACCTGGCCCTGGGCACTGCCAGGGATGCAGGGCCAGCCCCAGCTGCTCTGGGCACCCTGTGCCAGGGCCTGCCCACTCCCAAAGGCCAGCAAAGCCGGCTGCTCACCGGCGGGATGTGGGAAGGCACGGCGGAGTCCCTTTCATTGATTTTGCTGACGGTGACTGCACCGAAGCGCACGGGGCGGTAACGGGCAGGAGGCCGCGCTCAGCGGCGGCTCCGGCGCGTTGCAGAGGCAGCGAGGGCACCGCACTGCCGGCCCGATCCCCTCAACCCCAGCAGCTCATGGACGCTGCCCGACGAAGAACTCCCCGCCATCCCACGCTCTCGAAGGGGCGGAAAAGCGGCGGCCGCCCCTCAGCGGGGCCGCAGTTCTGCCTCTCCCCAACATGGCCGGCCCCGCCTCCCCTCAGCGGCGCCGCCGCCGCACCGTCACCGCTCCCCCTCAGCTGCATTCCCCTTCAGCCTTCCCCCAACATGGCGGCACCCCCGCCTGCCCTCTGCAGCGCCATCGTCACTGCCGCCCCTCAGCCTCCCCCCGTTATGGCGGCTCCTTCACCACCTCCCCTCAGCAGCGCCCCTCCTCCGCCTCCCCTCAGCGTCAGCACCGCCCCTCAGGCTCCCGCGCGGGCTCCTCCCGCCCGGCGCAGCCGCGGAGCAGCAACCGGGGCTCGGAGCGCGCGGGAAGGGCGGAGGGGCGTTGCTGGCGGTCCCGGCGCTCCCGGCGGTCCCGGCGGTCCCGGCGGGGCGGGATGGCGCTGCCGCAGCAGTGCGAGGCCGCGTTCGGCACCGCCGACCTGTACGGTGTGTTGGGATTGCAGCGCGGCGCGTCCGCGCAGGAGATCCGCCGCGGCTACCACCGCGCCTCGCTGCGCCTGCACCCCGACCGCGTCCCGGCCGAGCAGAAGGAGGAGGCCACACGCCGCTTCCAGGTGAGGAGAGACGCAGGGAGAAAGGGATGGAGTGAAGAGAAGCAGGGAGAAAGGGAGGGAGGGAGGGGGGCGGTGGCAGCCACGAGTGAGACCGACCCACCACCCCACAAGTGACTGGCCCCCTGATCCGCTGTCCCACGAGTGACCGCTCCCTGAGTGACCACCCCAGTGACCAGCCGCGACCGTGACTGACCCCCCAGTGACCGCTTCCCGCTGCGTCCCGCAGATCCTGGGCAAGGTGTACGCCGTGCTGAGCGACGAGAAGCAGCGCGCAGCGTACGATGAGACGGGCATGGTGGACGAGGACGCCGAGGCGCTGCAGGACGGGCGGGACTGGCTGGAGTATTGGCACCTGCTGTTCAAGGTGAGAGCGGGATGGGGCTGGGAGACAGAAGAACTTTTCGTTTTGATGTGTTTTCTCTTAAATCCTCCTGATGAGCAAGTTCTGTAACTCACAAAGCATCACCTCTTTGCTCCAGGTCACCGTGAAAGACATTGAAGACTTCCACAATAGCTACAAAAACTCGGAGGAAGAGCTGGCTGATGTGAAGGCAGCGTACATGAATTTCAAGGGCGACATGGATCGGATCATGGAGTCTGTGATGTGCGTCGACTACACAGATGAGCCCAGGATACGGGAAATGATCGAGCAAGCCATCGACGCCGGGGAGCTCCCGTCCTACAAGGCTTTTGTAAAGGAGTCAAAGCAGAAGATGATGTCCAGAAGAAAGAGGGTAGGTTGCAGCAATCGATTACCACAACCTTTAACCCTTGGCAGAAATAAGTAACACTTCTCCTTTTGAGATGTTTGTCACAGGTTTGCCGGGTTACACGCTGTGCTGTTCACATCTGGTCACCTGTGGTCATCACCCCCCACCCCAAATCATTGTGAAAGGTTTTTCTACTTCTTTATTTCCTTATTATACACAGTTACATTACAGTTTAGCATGCCCCTACATTTATCTACAAAGCTGTGAGTTGCTGGAGTTAACAAAAACAAACAAGTGGTGAAAATACATTTTGGTTGGCTTCTGGCAGGTGTGAAACTGCTCTAGCCTAAATGGACTCTTGTATGCTTTTGTACACTTTATAGAATGTTATATGCACATCACAGTAATCTTTAAGTTATTGTAGTATCTACCAAAACAAAAAATAAACGGGTGTGGGAACAGGGATGGGGACAAGCATCACATTCAACACTGTGAAAGAGCAGAAAAACTTCCTGCTCTGCTAAATGGGGGAACCAGAATGGGCTTTCCTTGCCTGATTCCTTATCTGTGGCCAAACTTGGAAACCCTTTGCACTTCCCTGCAGCTATTTGTATACAGATGCCAAAAAACCCATTTTTAAAGTCCTGTAAGACTTGGTCAGATAACATGCAAAATACTTCTTATAAAAAAAAAAAAATTGTTTACTCTTTTAGGCAGAAAAAGAAGCTAAAGAGGCAAAAAAGACTAAAGATGAACTGGGCCTTAGTGGAGAAAATGACTTGCAAGCGCTGATTAAAGTAAGGCTTCTTCTGTTTGTTGCAGATAATTTTGTTACTGGCTTATAATTGTGTTTTCCCTGAGGGTCTTTGATTTTGGATCCTTGCATATCTTCTGAATTCCTGAGGTTAAAACCTGGCCTTAATGTTAACTATGTGCTTTAATTTAATTAGAATCATAGTACAGTATGGATTTTATTACCTGTGTCTATTTAAAACTTTACAAGAGTTAAATATTTGGAGTACTTATGCAATAACTTCTAGTTTTAGGCAGTTTCACAGGGAGTTTTAATGATGATGCTAAACTTTCTGTAGCTTGTATTTAACATGTTTGATGTAGTCCAAGATTTTGTGTAGCTATCAGACTTCAATAGGGTAAGCTGTATTGGGAAGTTACAAAAGGTTTGAGCTTGGTTGGTGTTCTTTTCCCCCCTCCCCAGAACCGAAGCAGAGAGCGAGAAAAGGAAATGGATAACTTCTTCGCCCATCTGGAATCAAAGTATGGGAACAGTACTAAGAAAGGAGGAAAGAAGGCCTCAGCCAAGAAAAGAAAGACAGAAGGAACAACATAGACTGAAATACCAGGTTTCACTTTGTATGGAAATGTGGCTTTGGAAGAATTTCGGGTGTTTTCCGGGCTCCTGTTTCAGACTGTGTGCATTGACTGGCTCTAAGTGGGAGGAATGACATAGCATGCTTGCTGAACAGGGAAGACAAGGCATTCCTGTGCTACTGTCTCCAACCCTTTGGGTGCCCTACAGTTGAGATCCATGTGTGCTATTCACACATTTCTTCTGTAACAAACCTCCTGCTATTTTTAAAGGTCTTTGCACATCAGCTCAACAGGTCTTTTTCAGATACTCCTGTAGTTTTTATAAAGATAGTTTGGAAAATTGCTGATTTAATAAACAAGAAGGTGGGATTATTTTCAGTTTTGCTTCCTCAGTTCTCTGTATGTTTTCTAAATAAGCTATTTAAAACAAGCCAATTGTGTTGATTCTTCTGATTTCAGTCAAATAAATCCTGCACACTTCAGGGAGGATCATGTTTCAAAGGCGTAGGAATCTCAAGGTGAACACTTTGGGAGTTGAAGGCCCTCACAGCTTCAGCAACAGCTCCTAGAGGGAAGGCAGAGGTAGATGGTCTCTCTGTTCCCTTTTACTTGTCTGCTCTCAAAAATAACCCTGATTCTGAGAAAGCAGAGCCTGTAATCGTGGTTTATAACACATGGCTTGAAGGTTACTTTTATTACACAAAATAAATAACAGTCCAGGAGCAGTCCCTGGTGTCAGCCATCTGTACAAAATAACAGACATGGCCTTAGGAGGCAACTGCATTTTTTAAACCCACTGACTCCTCTAGGCTGTAAAACACTACATCATGTTAACAGAAGTCTATTCAAGTTTATTTGTCTGCTTTTGTAACTCTTGTGCTACAGAAAACTCACTTGGTCCCTGAGGAATGGCACGGATACAAATGGGATGCTGATCTGCACTTTGCCTGACATAACTGACACACTGCACAGTGTTCCAGAAGAGAAACTGTAGTTTGAAATGGTTTAGTGAATAGAAGCCTCTAGTGAGCCTCAGCTTCCCTCTCTGAAAACTTAAGATTGAGCTCACAGCTGCTTTTTTTTCTTTTTTTTTTAACTTCTGGAAATGCAAAGGCAGGTTAACCCAGTTATGTTTGCACATTACCTTGTTTTTGATTAAAGCATGTTTGGATCAACTGGACTTGTGAGCTTCAGTATGGATGAAAAATTATTAGCTGGTCTGGAGTGGGGAAATAGGGGAGCCACTTCATAAAAAATATTAACAAGGTTTTTTCCTATTGTGAACAGTAATTTGAGGAATAAGAAAATACAGGAAAACAGTGCTCTTTAATTGGACTAGAAAGGAACAACTGTTTTTGTAGAGTGTCCTAACTTTGTTTAAATACAGCCAGTGCTTACCTAAGCTTGTTTTTACATTTCAGTCTGGCAGTTACTGTTTGGGAATAACACCTTCAACTAATCACTTATTTTGACAAGCCTGTACTTCATGCTTTCATTTGTCTTATCTGGAGCCACAAGGCCAACTCCAGCAAATGCCTCTGTCAGGTCTGTCACACATGGCAGACACAGCTCTTAAAGCTCCAATGCTCCAGTGGCTTCTGGAACTCTACCTTGGAGTGAAGAAATCTTGTGTAATTATAGGTATTTTTACAAAGGGACACTGAGCTGTTCTGTGAAGTTACCATAAAATGTCTCACCAGGAGGATTTTGAGTACTGTCTGAAACTACTTGCAGTAAGAAGTTTCTTTTTGTCTGCTCAGCCTTCTTCAGTCACTAAGGAAGAGGTAAAAGGTTTTATAACTCAGGAAGAGGCAGTGTTGTGCTGCCCTTGGAGCTGCCAGGTCACCTGCTCTGCTGCCTTGATTCTACACACCTGTGTTCATACCTGCTGCAGCTAGCACAGCATTCATCACTTGCCTAAGTGCTTCCTTATGCTAGCACAATATTGCTTTAAACATAAATACACTTTTAAAAATATGTAAATCACTGCATCTGTGGAAGGCTGGGTTACCCTTCCTAAGGGAAAAATGAGCAGGTCCTGCAGTACCTGCCTGTAAGGACATGAACCTGTCACCAGCCTCATGGAAAACAGCACAAGCACAGACTGAGAGTGCTTGCTGGGTTTCTTAGGAGTTGAGCTTCACTGGAATGTATTCACCCTTCCACTGGAGCATCACTTTCTCTACTGGTAGGAAATGGAATGTTTAAGTGCACCCCTTCTAATCTTTGGCAGCTGCTGCTTAGATTTATATAAAAATAACTATCTGTAAGGAAGGGTGTTGGAAAATTCTGTGTAAACAACGTTGACCTTGCTGGGAAAGAGGTGGTTCATGACTCTCTGGAGAGGGATGGATAGGTGGATGCTTCTCCATGGCACATCAGTGCCTCTGTTTGCTCTTTGTGCCTGATCCACTTCGGCCGTGGACTTTCACAGAACCGTGTGATGGAATACCTGACAAACAAGAGATCATGGACAGCCTCAAGACTTTGGGAAGGAATTACAGCTAAGTATCAAATACACTTCCTCTAGCTTAAAACTTAAGTGTCTTTTTACTCTAACACATGGCTATCAATTGCTTTATTTATAACTTCCAAAAAGGACAAAGCTTGTGCTTGCCAAGTTGCTGCATTGCAGGGAGTGACTGCATTCTTTGATTTCACTAAGTATTCATGTCTACAAAGCTTTTCTGCTATTTTAAATTGGTTTGTCAATACAGCAGTCATAAAACTTATCTTGCTTTTTCTGGGGGGGAGAGGGCAGATACTTATATAATTTCAGTAGGAACCACTCCCTGCTTGTTTAAAAAGTTATTTCAGTTTTAGTAACTTGAGGTTAACAGAGGCACTATTTCTGTTTAAGCTGACAACTTGGACACTGAGAGGCACTGGGGCTGATGACATTAAGCTTCCTTACTTGATTTAAATATTTGGTGGTAATAAAAAAAAAATGCACCCAGCTATCCTCTGGAGTAGAGTAAGGCATAGCAAGGATAACATCTGTAAAATGGCAAATTAAAGACATGGATGGAACTTTGAAAAACCTCCCCAGTGTAAATTACCTGTAGGAATATACCCCTGTAGGAAATGCATCCCTATCCCAAAAGCCTCCTTTGTTTGATCTTACTAAACCCTGTGACTGATGAGCATACCTGAACTTGTGGATCCTCTCCTTGTCCAGGATTGATTACCATAATCAGTAACAGTGCAAGAACGGCGGCGCTGGGAATGGGGCTGGAAAAACAGCTCAAGTTATTTCTGCTTGCATGAAAAAAAACCCCAGCAAGATTATAATACAACTTAAAACTACTTAAACATATATTTGGTAATGAGATAGATGTTGTCAAGGTTTAAGGAAAGTTTTTAAAGAAAGGTCAAATCAACTTTAGAAGTAGAAAATACACTTTTCTAATACATATTTAGTATGATCACTGGGCCAGTTGGAGGCAGTCTTTCCATTTCAGAATATTAGGCTGTTCCAAAGCAGATTTTGTAACTGCTGAGTCCAGGATGTTGAAATTATACACTGAAACCAATCAAGCAGCAATTTAAAAGCTGTGCTGATATTACAGCTTCCAAAGCTTGGATAGAAACACGTTGTTAGATACAACAAGGTACCAGTAGAGTAGGAGTTCCAATAAATTAAACTGAGGGTGTTTGATACTGAAACAGACTGGACATTGATGTTAATTCTCAAAGCACCCTTTTCAGTAATTAAGGATGATCTGGTGTAATTAGCCATGCTTTACCAAGGATGTGCTGGTTGTGTTAGGCCTGGAGAAGGGATCAGGTAAGAACAGCTGCTCCTGGAGCTGCTGGTGAGTGTCTTCTTGTGTTGTGACACTGTGAGCACGGCTCGAGTTCCCTCGAGGTTTCTGCAAGGAGAGCAACAGAGTTGTGGCTTTTAATTAGAGCAGCAGTTCATTAAAAATAATTAACCCAGGAATTAAAGCTTTTTTTCCAATTGAAATTTTTGAATTATTTTATATCTAGTTATGAGGAGGAAAACATTCAATTTGCATTAGTGAGAACTAAGCAGGTAAGCGTGGGTGATGCTGTTACTCAAAACTGATACATTTTTCTGTTTGATCATCTATTTCACTTTCTGTCACAAAATAACAAATAAATTAGAACTCTTGGCCGGTGTAATTTGACCAGCAGTAATAACAACTTTAGATTATCCAGTAATAAAATGAGATTCTTGTGCCTGTTACCGTTTGCCTGTGGGGTCCTGTGGTGCTCCCACGCTCTGCCACAGTGGTGGTGGCAATGGGTGGCAGGGGGTGATTTCTGTTCAGCAGCAGTGGGGAGGGTGACATCACCTGCTCCTGTGCAGTCAGGCTGGAATGCACCAGTAAGAACACAAAAAACACACAGTTAATATGTTTGGCAGGTGGAAAGGTGTAATGTCAGTTTCTTTGGCCTTCTGTAAAAGAATACCTTGGAAAAGCTTCAAACCGTAATCTAGAAAATACTTTCCTAGTGCTCTCTACTTACATTTAAAAATACATTTTAATCAAGCAGAGATGTCACTATTTCTTAGATTGACTGAAGCCTGAGGAAAGGGAACAGAAACACAAAATACTGGAAGGAGAAACACCAGTTATGGAGGGACAAGGAATAAGTCTCTCAGTGGTGTGTGACAAGAAAGCAACAGACTGGACAAATTTATAGGTAAACAGCAAAACTAAAACTACAGTAATTTAGAACACATGGAATAGACAGGTCTATCAAATCCTGCATTGTTTCCTGATACTCCCTGTGGTCCCTGTGACTCAATTCAGAATAGTCAGGTCATTGTGCAAAATAAAAGAAAGATATTCTAGATGTGATTGAGGGCTAGCTCACTAGGAGCCCTTTGGTCCAATAGATAACCTATTTGACCATTTTTATAGTCCAGTCTGGGCTAGGATAGCAACACGCAGTATGACCACCAAAAACTGCAGATTTTAAAATTTATCTTGAAAATAGGCTGCAGAAAGAGCCAGCTGTGTCAAGGAAGAGATGGTGGCATTCACTTTGCTTGCAGAGGACAGACTGTGACCTATTGCTCATGTGCAAAACTACCTGAATATGGGACTGTGTGTGATTCACTGAATCACAGCTGGCAGCACACTGAACGTCAGCTTTAATGACTCGGCTTTCTCAGGGGAGTTGTGCTTTAAGGAGCAGTCCCTCTCCTCACCCCAACAGTCCATGTCCTCCCTTCCCAGGGATGCTCTGACCCTGGTACCCTGCAGGGAGAGGCTGTTTTGGGGACCTACAGGCGCCTGCAGATGTCGTCTCCGGAGCGTGGGGTCCCGATGGGCTGCAGGGTCCGTGGTGGGGGGTTCTTCCTCCTGGTGCAGCGGGACAGGGACGAGGTGCTGAGCTCCAGGGGACGACTTGGCCACGTCCGGGTAGAGAGGAGGGAACTCGAACCGGGCCGGTTGTCGTCCAAGTCCCTAACAACAAGAAAAAATTACAAGACCAAAAGAGTGATGGGTCAGCATGACAACTGCTGTTACCAAAGTGCTCACATACAGGTGACTTTATTCATAACATACGTGGGCAGAAATTATGTGTGTTGATTTTTTAAAATAACTACATCAATTTTCACAGGGGACAAATAAATAACCAAGCAGGAAAATAACTAATAATTAATTGTTTTCTCCAGCAGAAGAATTTATCTTACAAGGTTTTGGGTTGAATCCCTCTCAGAGTGAAAGTGCTCTACTTTATTTGCTACAGGTGATCTTACAGTGTTTTCTCCACTACAGGCAGGTTCCTTTGATGTAACTGGATCCCATGGATCACCATCAAGCCATTCAGGTTACGCTGAGAACTACTACTTGATCCTTGAGAGACACTTACCTGAAATTAAAACAAAATAAGTAAGTAAATTACTGTTTGACAGAGACATACAGATATGTATATCACTTTGGAGAAAAGTCATTCATTTCTTCCATGACATCCAGATACATACTCAGTTATATTATTTCCCCAGCTGGGGGAGCTTAGCATTTAATTTTTTTTGAATGATAGTGCTTTAATTTTTTTTAAATTTTAGAAAATGCCCTAATATTTAATATTTTTCAACCAAGCAGCTCATTTGCTGATCTTTCAACAATGACTATAATCAGAAGCTTTACAAAAATAATTTTCAGCCTATATTGACATTTTATGTCAAGAACAGATCTGCAAAGTCCTTTTCTGAGATACAGACTTATCTGGAAAAAAAACATCATATTCCATGCACCATAAGAAGAGCAAATAGAAAATAGCAGAGAAAATCCCATACATACTTGAGGTGTTTTTCTCCTCTTTTTGCTTTTGCGGCCACCTCTGGGTTTTGGGCACTACACACACAGTAAAGGGACACAAGGGACAGGCAGAGGGAAGAAATAAAGGAGAAAGAAATAAGGAAAGAGCTGAATTAAAATGGAATAAACAGGTAACACTTCGGTGCTCACCACTCTAGAAGCAGATCATCTAAAGCAGATTATACAGTTAAATTCAGTGTCTGAGAAAAAAAACTGGTTTAGAACTGCAGAGAGTTCTCCTTTCTTGCTGGATGAAATAACTATTAATGTGAAAATGGGATCCCACACACACACTCCTCAATCTCACCCTTTAATTGAAACATTGAATTGTGGAAAGAATTACATGCTGAATCAACAGCCACCTCATGGTTGTCACACACAGATATAAAACACTGCTTCAAGGAGGAAGTAAGAATTAAAACTTCCAGCTGAGAAATAACAGAACTCAAGTGTCAGAAAGGACAGCCAGCTTTCACAAAAAGTCCAAACCATTTATTTATCTAAACACAACCACTCTTTCTGCTGAGGTAACACTGTGATTCATCCCCACACGAAACAACAGCTGGCTAAAAATCCTTACCAGATTTGGTGTCACCGAGGGCATCTTAGTGTGTGGCACCCGAGGTAACAGTGCTGGCAGAGGATCCAGCTGCAAAGGGCTTCTGGCATCTGCTTGCAGCGTTTCCACTGTTATGATACTTTTCTCATCATCTGTGCAAAGCAACAGAATTCCTGTCAATACTGGCACTGCTAGTCATGGACAGTGCTATGAATCAACATTTTTTTAGAGAGAGTCCCCTTGGCTGATAAGCTCTGCTAAGTTTTTTGAAGACATATTTCACACTGTTAGCAAAATAACCTTTTTATTCCCACTGAAGAGATCATTCCCAAATACATTACTCTCCCATGGCATCTTTATAAAATTAGCTGAAATCCCCTTTTGAGCCCTCACCTTCATTGTGAATCCTTACCAGAGGCTGACCCTTCCCAGTGTCTGCAGATCAATTCTTCCATGCAGACCAGGACTTCACTCCAGACATCATCAAACACAAACGTGAGCACGGCATCCTTCATGCAGGAATAGGGAGAGACAGGAGGAAACCCCAGTTTCTGTCTGCCAGAGGATAGTGCCATTTTCCTCCCATGCAACTCCTCCTCCCTGTAAAAATGTAAGTATTACCTGCATCAGAAACTATATTTACTTTCAGCTTTCCCAATGACCTCAATGAGAAATTACTGACTCTCCCTGGTCTCCCTGTACAGAATGATTATAAATCATACTCCATGAACAATAATTTACCCATGAGATCAAATTCATGTCAAAAAAATCAAAATTAGTTGTTAGAGTGATATTTCTTCATCACATTGTTAGGCTCCAAATCTAATGACAGGACAGAATGCTGAAGACAAGAGAGTGATATTTTTTGCTGCAGCAATGTCCTCTCTAGTCTGGTGAAACCAAGAAGCATAACAATTTTACTATAATGGTTCATGCAGATAAGTGGCTTTAATTATTAAAACTAATTAAGTAGTCAGGAAATGACAGCACCCTCCAGAGTTCTTACCCAGGCCACATGTTCATACTGTATATATATTGTGCTGAATAATGTAAAGGGGCAAAAAGATAAAAATAGTGGTAATTGTTTCTTGCAAAGCATAAAATCCACTCTAGTTCTTAAAACTACCACTGAAAAAAATCCACAATTGCACCCAACATTCTAGTACAAAATAGAAGCAGCACTCTGCTGTTGCATAACAACAGTGAATTTGACATAGTATAAAAAATAAATGAGGTTGAAACACATATTATTACATAGGCTCTCAGTTATGAGAGAATGAATTATTCAAACCAAGCACAAAAATGGACAGCGTGAAAAATTATCACAAAAATTCCTAAACATAATTTAGTGAAAGAAATTGTCCTAGGAAATAGGTTTGGAAAATTCCCAGTGCCCAGGCAACCTCAGGTCTTTGAAAGCTCTCTAGAGAAAAGATAAATAAATTAATCAATTATCTGTATCTTAACTGCAGGAACCCCAGGACACTATTTTAATCTTCAATACCTACACATCTCTGTGGTCAAAAGCCAAGAATTCCTCCACTATGCCTTCAGAGAGAATTACTTCCTCTTCCCCTTCATCGCTCTCTGAGGAACACGAGGTCGGAGGCTTGGAAGGGTCAGACTTTTTGTGAGTAGGAGCAACAAAAAGAGGCACCTTCTTGCCAAAAACACTAAATCTGGACAGGTGACAGTTTTCAGAAAGCAGAAATAAAGATAAGTTGTTATTCCACTTTAAATAACTGAGAGACAAGCATGGTTGTTAAGGGCGAGCAGTAGCGAGGTCAAAAAATTATTCATTACAGTAACAACTTCTGGTCTGGATACCTCTTAATTCTTGAAATACCTGAAACTTCAGGGAAAAAATATCCAACGCTGATTAAAAAGCGTTCTAAAGCATTAAATAATAAAAGCAGAACTAACAGTGCTTTGTAATTTTTAAAGCCTAGGCAAATTCAACAGATGATTAATAATAAAACCAGCTACAGTACACACATATTCTTATTAATATCAGCAGCAGCAAAGATATTTCTATTTACTCGCCAGTTCACTGTAGTCAGCAAAAGCACAACTACGTGTTCTTGCTATTCTAAGTGTACTCAATTCAGTTAAAAATGGAAAGAAAAAAAAAAAGTGTTTGCTGTGTTCAAAACACGGCCTAACAGGAAGGCTCACACAGCCTTCCCACCTTGGCATGTTCAGGCTCAAGATGCAGAGAACAAACCTGCCTTCCCACCTTGGCATGATCCAGGCTCGCTGCTGGTACTTACTCATCAGAATCCTTTTCCTGTGGTGAACTTACATCGGAGGGAGTCAAACTGCCCGAGGGGGAACTCGAGTACCATCCATACCCTTCATCTGTGGGGGCCACCACCTGCTTCCCCACCACCCTGCCACGGCAAAAGCAAAGGAGAAATACAGCAGAAAACCTTGGCAGTACGATTATCGAAGGGTGTAAGAACAGCAGCAAATCCTAAAAGTTCTCCTGGGAAGATTTCCTGGTGACACTCAGTTTTCTAAGAGAATTCTGCTCTGCAAGTCAGTTGAGATAGCAACAAACCTTTCTCAAAGAACCACATGTGGGGTAAGAGGATGTTTATTAATGACAGGCAGGCACATCACCAGAGTGATCTTTTTTCCTCTGTCTACTGCATAAGGGCATAAACCCACCCTGCCCCCTGTTTTAAAAGCAGCTGTGTGCATCCCTAGCCTTGTGAAGGTACCAGCACCAGATCATTACTAAAATACCTGAGATGAGGAAAGCTGGAGGACCACTGGTGGCATTCTTCCCGCAGTCCCTCAACATGAACATTCTCTTTCTGCTCATATAGAAGCTCATCAATTTGTCTGAACATCTGCTGAATTTGTTGTGTGGCAGCTTTGTCAAATTCCTGGAGAGGAAAAAAAACACCTCGTGAATAGCATTTGCAGGGTTTTTTTAATTGATCTTTTAAAACATAATTGGAAAACACAACTATTTGTTTAAAGCTTAGCAGGACTGCAGAAAAAGATTTTAACTTTAAATTATTTTCTCCCAGAGATGATGTAGCCTGCTCTTAAGACGGTTGGCAGCCACATAAAAACCTTACATTGACACAGCAGAAAAAACTGTTAGAACATTTTGAAATATCCATATTATGATATTAAGCTACAAGACTTAAAGGAATCAGAACAGAAAGGATAAAATTCAGTGATATTTTAATGCAATAGAGGATTTGTTGCTTCCGGTGTCCATAAACAATAGCAACACAAAAAGCAATGCAGGCTGGTGGGAAACACTGACCCTGAGGGATGGTCAGGCCCTTTGTTACATGCGATAGAAAATGGGGTCAGTTCTGGGGTAATTTACATCTAAACAGCTCCATCTCACCTCCCAGAAGGCAACACCATGCTAGGCTTTGATGGAAGGATAATAAATCAAACATTTCTAAATGAAAATCATGTTTTAGGAGCTTACTCTATTATGAGAAACATGCAAGGACGCAGAAGTTTGATAAACACACGCCAAGTATCTGAAAGTCATCCAGCCATGGCTGGAGTTCCACAATAACAGCACTTATAGATACAATTGTGCACTAAATGATTTACATTTCCAGCATTTTTAGTGGAAATGCAGAATATTAACAGAATAGTATGAGGCTAATGTGTTTTAAACTGAAAGATGGAAAGCAGTAAAAAATATATTCTTTCTATAATCACTACCATGATTTTTTGACAGATCCAATAATTTTTGTTCTAACATGTCTTTGCAGTGGTATTTCAAGTGTCTTTCTGTGCTCGATTTGGCTTGGATGATTATGTTCTACTCACGTCATAGCCCCAGGAGAAGACTGAGCTGTCTTCTGTGGAGGTGTCAGCCCAGCCCTGACTAGCAGTCCGTGGATCCCCATGATCATCCGATCCCTTATGGATTCCCGACTCCCTGAAACGCGCACATCGAGCCAAAAGCAAAACCAAAAAGAAAGCAAAACAGCCCACAATAAACAATGAGAGATCGAGTGTCAGTAAACAAAGCCCAGCTGGATCAGAACAGCTGGATCAGAGGTGTCAGGACAAGTACCTGGAGGTCTGGGCGAGGTGTTCAGCCGTGGGTGTGGCTGAGCACACCTGAGCCCCTGGCTCTGGCGGTGGGTGATGCCTCAGGGCATGTTTTGGGAGTCCTTGTCTGAAAAAACAGCATTGGGACTTGGCACAACTTACAAGAATAAACATTGACCGAGTTCCCAATAAGTTTGATAGGTTTTTCTTTCCTACTTCTCAAGGACTGTGCACACATTTATGACTATTACAAAGCTAATTCTTGTCACCAAAGCTCTAGGTTTAAGGTGTCAAAACTAACTCTAGGATAAATATGGAGTTAAAGGTCTTGGCTTCAAAATCAGTTCGACTTAAGCCTAACATGCTGTGAATTGGCCTACAGCTCCCTAAAAGCAGAGACAACGCCATTATCCCTGTAGATTAATTTAATTGAATTAAATAGAACAAGAGTAAACGAGCCCAGTAAGTCAGAACTGACTCAACTCTTGGGTCAGGAGAAAAAAGCCAGTTACAGGGATTTAATCGCGTTCTGTCACACCGGTGTCTGCTCGAGACCGGTGCTCAGGAATCCCGGGAGCCATCTCCCGTCGGGGACATGGGGTGACCGGGCCGTCACGGGGCCCTGCCTGGCGCTGTGGGGAGCGCGGGCGGCAGGCCCGGGAGCGGGCCCGGGGGGATCGCGACCGGGACCGCGATGGGGCTCGGGGCCGTGCCGGGCCCCGGGGCAGCGGCAGCCACTCACGCCTGCACCGGTTTCCGCGCGTATCGCGATATCATCCTCAGCGCCGCCGCCCCGCCGCCGCCATCGCGCCGCTCCTCCCCGGGGGCGGAGCGCGGCCCCGGCGCGATGGAGGCGCTGCGGCGGCCGGCGCTGCCCGAGGACGCGGTGCGATACCGCCTGTTCGCGGCGGCGGCGGCGGCGGCGGGCCCGGGCGGCGAGGCGCTGCTGCGGCGCTGCGCTGAGCTGGCCCTGCTGCGCTTCGCCCCGCTCCTGGCCTCCTACGTGTGGCAGCGGCAGCCGTTCCGCCTGCGCTACGTGCCGCGCCGCGGTGAGCCGGGAGCGGGCCGGGAGGCGCGGCGGGAGGAGCGCCCGGAGCGGCGGCACTGGGAGGGGGACCCTGGAGCGTGTGAGGGGAACCGGGAGCTTGTGAGGGGAACCGGGAGCGTGTGAGGGGAACCGGGAGCGTGTGAGGGGAACAGGGAGCGTGTGAGGGGGACCCGACGGCAGGAACCGGGAGCGTGTGAGGGGGACCCGACGGCGGGAACCAGGAGCGTGTGAGGGCGAACCGGGAGCGTGTGAGGGGAACCGAGGGAGTATGAGGGGGACCCGGCGGCCGGGAACTGGCATCATTTGAGAGGGACCCAGCGGGCTCGAACCGGCAGCGTGTGAGGGGGCGGGAACGTGTGAGGGGTTCCCGGCGGTCGGGAACCGACGGTGTGTGAGGGGAATCCGGCGGGATCGAACCGGGAGCGTGTGAGGGGAACTGCGGGCATGTGAGGGGGATACGGTGGCCAGGAACCGAGAGCGTGTGAGGCGGACCCGACGGCCGGGGAAGGGGAGCCTCTGAGGGGGAACCGGGAGTGTGTGTGGGGGGAGCGTGTGAGGGGAACCGGGAGCGTGTGAGGGAGAACGCGGCGGCTCCACAGACTCCTCTCAGTGTCACGGCACGGGTTAACCCAGTGAGGCATCTGGTGCCACCTCCCCGCTGCAGCAGCGTCATCGCAGAGCACAGGACTCAAGATTCCTCGGCAGGGTCTGGATATCCCCAGGGAGGGAGACTCCGCAGCCTGTGTGGACAATCTGTTCCTGTGCAGGGGCTGCTGAGCCGCCTCTCCTCTCTGTGCCCCGTCCAGGTGAGACCCCGGCGCACATCGGCGGCACCACCGTGTTCGGGGATAACGTGGAGGATGAGTGGTTCATTGTGTACCTGCTCCGGGAGATCACCAGGGAGTTCCCGGGGCTGGCAGCCAGGTAAGGCGGGTCCTGGTGAAGTGCTTTAGTGGGACGGCTGTGAAGGGGCAGTGCCTACGCTTTGAACGTCCTGTCTTAACATTCCCCATCCTTGGAGCTGTTTCCCCATCCCATTCACGTTTGAGGTATCCAAGGGCAGTTGGATGGGGCTTGGAGCAGTCTGGGCTAGTGGAAGGTGTGCCTGCCTGTGGCAGGGGTGTTGGAACCAGATGATCTTCAAGGTCCCTTCTAACCTAGGCCTTTCTATGGGCCTATGAATATTGAAAATCCCCAGCAGACATGGATTCAGAAGTGTGTCGTTGTGCTCTGCAAAGCTTTTCCTGCTAAGAAACCAATTTCTTCTTGGCCAGTATTGATGACAACGATGGAGAGTTTCTCTTGATAGAAGCTGCTGATTTTCTCCCAAAGTGGCTGAATCCTGAGAACAGTGAAAACAGGGTGAGTAAAACTTGTGTACAATTGGCAAGGGGGCCACAGTGGCCTTTTATGTAGCAGCTGGAGTTTCTCTTGCACTTCTAGCCAAGTGGTCTGACTGCCTCTGAAAATCCAGAGTGCTGTCTGTCCCTTACTGTTGCTCCCTTCAGGAGCACTCCTGTATCCACCTGAACTTTCTAGATCTTCTAGAACCACTTGGATGATTTTTTTTACCATGTTCTGGAGTGTTTAGGCAAGAGGATTTGGTGCCCTCAGAGAGGGAATGCTCAGGGCTGGAGTGTTGCTATCTCTGTAAGGACACAGGCTTTGTCTGGTACAGGTGAAATAATGAAACACCTTCACCTGGGTATGGATGGTTGCTAATGGCAGTGGATTAAAACGGAAATAATTAATTTGGTCATTAGCAAAATATTGCTTAATTATTTTTCCCCTACTCCAAGTTCCTAAAAAGGGATGGAACACAACCCAAAAATTGATTGGAAGTGTGTACCTGGACTGCCAGGCTCATGTTTTCCTTTTGTTAGAGGGAACAGACAGAGTGAGGGAATTGAGAAGTTTGCAGTCAGGCCATTTCTTAGGATCAGGAACCAGCAGAGGTCGCATGTAGCACCCGAAGTAATGCTTTTTAATCCCTGTGATGTTCTGAAGCAGTTAGGTTATGCAGGTTCTCCTGAAGCACTTCTCTAGTTGAAGAGAAACTTGATACTATTGTTATTAAGAAAACAAGATATCTTTGATGAAACTTGTTACAGTTAAAATAGGGATTTTTACTGGTTGGATTGTGGTCTCTGGCATCCCAAATAACTTTTGTAAAAAGGCTGTGCTGCTCCCTGTATTGGTTCTCTATTTGTACTGTATATTCTCTGTATTCAGGCAGATGCATTTGTATATGAAATGAAATTTCCCATCCCTCTGTGTGTGTGAGTGCTCTTACCCTGTGTGATGAGAGCACTGCTGCCTGCCAGGTGTTCTTTTACAAAGGAGAGCTGCACATCATTCCGCTGTCGGAGCCTTCGGAGCAGGACTGCCCCCTCTCTGCTCCCTGTCCCACGGTGCCGCAGGCGCTGGCGCTGTTATCCACCCGCTCCGAGGAGTTCCTGGCTGCAGAGCCCATCAGAGCTGCGCTGTACAAACGCATCCAAGGGTACGTGGGGGCTGCATGTCGGTCCTCTGCAACAGTGGGGTCTGCTTCTGTGCTCTCTGGGCTTTAAACATTTCCCCAGCAGATGTGCTAAAGCTGGTTCCTTTTCAGAAACCAGCAGCTAGAGGTTTTTCTGTGGCACTCTTGGAAAGAGGGGGATCGGTGTCCTGTAGTCTGTGATCTGGGGATCTGAAACTGGCTCACTGCTGGAATTCCACACCTAACAATGACAAGCGTTACTCTTCCTTCACATCCTTCTTAGACTGAAAAATCTGAAAATTCCATGATTTTTAGGAGTCCTGTGCACAAGGAAAAAGAGGATTTGACCTAAAATGTAGAACCAGCAGAACTGTCATAGCTTCAGTTTGTCGCAACTGTGGTCAGCCCTGTGCTTTATTTTTTTTTTGCAAGGACTTTTTGCAGTGTAACTTTCCCAGAGTATGGTGATGAATACTGCATAGCTGGATATGTTGGTTAAGTTCACAGGGACTCATCTTACTCATGTGGGGGATTAAATTTTCTTAGCCATGTACACTTATATAAATATGTATTATAGAATCAGACTCTCTAGGCATTAGATTAGCCAAGTTTTAACTCCAGAGTGATCCTCTGACCCATGCTGCAGGTAAATATTAAAGTGAAGTGGGCCTCATGGTACAGAAGGAAGGGTTACCTCTCAGTACCTTCCCACGCTCTGTTGCCGCTCAGGTATCCCGAGCAGATCCAGGCCTCGCTGCACCGAGCCCGCTGCTTCCTCCCGGCTGGAATCGTGGCCGTGCTGAGGCTGCGCCCGTCCCTGGTGGCTGCGGCAGTCCAGGCCTTCTACCTGCGGGATGCGAGCGATTTACGGGCCTGTCGGCGCCCCTTCAGAGCCTTCCCTGCCGAGCAGCGAGTGATGGCCCTGGTAAGTGCTCTCTGGAGCCGCTGATGGCCCTGCTGTGTGCTCCTCTAAAGCCTGTGATACCCTGGCATGTGCTCTTCTAACTCACTTAATTCCCTTCTGTCACTGACAGGGGTTCTGTGGCCAGTGGTATAAACACAGAGATTTAACTTAAAACTGCCAGTTTTCTTGGTTTTTTCCCCTTCTGGCTCTAGGGATGAATTTTCAGGTCATTGCATTAATAGCTCCTCTGGATTGATGTGCCTGGACTTTGAAGGGGCTGATCATGAGAGAATTGTTTCTGAAACCAGAGGTTGTGATAACAATTCCTCTGCTGAAGTGCCTGCTGAGTAAATTGATCTCCTTGTGTGATCAGAGCAGTTTGACAGCACTGCCAGCCAACTTGAGGAGTTGCTCCTAACCAGTGGTTCTCTTCAAGGCCTTCCACCTTCTCAGCTGTGCTCTCCCAGCTCTGTGAAAGCTTTTATGAAGTGTTTTATGGGCACTCTCCAAGCACTGTTGTATCTGATTCATTTTGTTACAGAGTTATACCACAGAACTCCTGAAAAAAAGCTTTAGAGTCAAATGTTGTACTTCTAAACTGTTGCCAAAATCTGTTAATCAAATTTAATTTTACATACACCTTGTTGATGCAAATACAGAATATCAAGGATTTTTCCTAATGTATTTCAAGTGACAAAAGTTCATATTTACTTGGGTATTTCAATTTGGGACATACTTTGTAAGGCCTGAAAAACAATTTATCAGAAAAATCTCTCTAAGTCACATTTTGAATGCAGTCTCAAGTGTTGCCTGTAATATGGGTGCCTTCAAACACACTCTGGTGAGCCTGGAGGGAGTTTGCTGCCTGTCCCCAGCAGAGTCAGGCTGCAGGGAGTGTTTGTTTCTGCTCTGGCTGTTTCAGGTGACTTTCACTCGGTGTTTATATGCACAGCTGGCACAGCAGAAGTTTGTTCCAGACAGACGCAGTGGATACACCCTGCCCGCCCCATCTCATCCTCAGTACAGAGCCTACGAGCTGGGCATGAAGCTGGTAATGAGTTTTGAGCCATTTTGGACCTGGTATGCCAGGGAATGAGTCGTTGGCTGGAAGTTGCCTGCTTGTCCAGAGAAATGTGAGCAAAGTCCACACACCTGGATAACCTCTTGTTGTTGCATCTTTTATCTACAGGCTCATGGCTTTGAAATTTTGTGCTCCAAGAGCAGTAAAGTAGCTCCTGATGCCAAGAGAAGTGTGTTAAGCAGTCCTCTGTGGGAGAGATTCCTCAGGAGCTTGAAGGAGAAAGATTATTTCAAGGTGAAGCAGTGTGTGCTTTTAAACATTGCAGGGAAAATAAACTTTAACCCTTGAACTTGTGGAAGGAGTTGCAGCGGGGCAAGAACTTGAATCCGTATCTTT